GAGCACATAAACTCCTAGGTATCCTAGGATAGTGCCATATAACAACCCCTTATTGCATCTGCCTTGCTGCCTCCTATTGTGCTATTGTAGCCTCACACACCACTGGCCATCCCCCTACCCTGGACCCCCTGTGATTTTTATAGTCTCTATACGTTTTTCAATAAAGTATTTTTTATTTTATTTTATCTTATCACTCCTTTGATCTTTTTGATTGTTACACACCAGGGGACACTATACCCCCAATGTGGGCATACCCTTAGCCGAGGGTGCTGTGGCAGATGGACTTGTGTTCTTCTCTCCACACACCCTAAGCTTTTGGGATTTTCTCTATTATAATTCTCTGTTGGGTTAGGCCCTCTCCTTTTGCCCATTTAGTCCTCTTTTGGCTCTAGGACTGGATTGTCTCCAGCTCTATAGCCATTATTTTCAATCAAGGATGTGGAATTCTCTGCCTGCAGAAGTGGTTTTATCAGAGTCCATACAGATGTTCAAACAGCTACTAGAATGCATACTTGCAAAAACAGAATATTCAAGGATATAATCTTTCAATGTAGGTAATAACTGCTTGATCCAAGGATAAATCTGACTGCCATACTGGGGTCAAGAAGGAATTTTTTTCCTAGCTTATTGCGAAATTGTGCTTCAAACTGTTTTTTTTTTCCTTCTTTTGGATCAACAGCAAAAATCAAATGTGAGGAAGGCTGAACTTGATGGATGCAAGTCTCTTTTCAGCTGTGTAACTATGTAATGTAGTAAAAGAAGTTATATGGCTTTTATTAAGATTGTTTTATTTATTTATTTTCATCATATATAATGTATATTTTGTTTTAGGATGACCCATTTTTTACACTGAGGATAAATGTGGAAGCACATGCATATAAACCTAACTAAAAAAGTATTAGATATATCCATAGATATGCACATATTTACATTTTCCCAAAACTCCCTCTAAAGAATTACCAGAATTTAATAGGCATTTCTCAATGGTTTATTGCTATAAGATTACATACATTTATCTTAAAGTAATTCATGATCACGTTTGTCCTATATTTGAGATTACCAAAAATATATAATACATCAATCTACCAGGTTGGCATGATTACTGGAAATAATTCAGTTATCACTACAACTATTAATATATAGGTATGACATGTTGAAGAAAAATTAGATCAGATTTAGTTGACCCATGCAAAAAGCATATTTAACTCTTATTGTTTTGTAATGTATTCCATATGTTTCTTAAATGACTGGAATCTTTAGTTAATATGCGCTTATTGTTTGTTCTGTAACATCTAATTCTTGCTTATTAGGCCAGCTCTGAAATGCTAGGGGCAGGAGTAAAACACAATAGGAGAATTGTTTTGGACTTGAAATAAGCATGTCTTACACCATTGCTGTCTTGTATTCAGCAAAGGGTTGTTGCGTATGGATTTAAACATGAATTACAGACTTTGATTCCATTTCCATTAAACTTTCATCACGTTTATGCATATGAATAAAGCTCACAGTTGCATGTCACTTCTTGTAATAAAACAGTGGTTCCAGAATGTTTACTAGTTAAATAGTAGTTACATAATAATATGTGCATTAAAAAAAAACTCTATAAAAAAAGTCCAGAAAGTTAAACTCTTCACTTTTCCCAAAGAAGGACAAAAAATATCCAGTTGTGAACAATTTTCAGATGTTGCACACAGGGGAATTGCTGGGTTCTAGAATCACCTGGAGCTTGAGTCAGAAGCGAAAGCCAATGACTAGTGATGTACCGAACATAGCACGGCGGGCGAACATATGCGCGGTTCGACCCGCCCCCTATTCGTCATCATTGAGTAAACTTTGACCCTGTACCTCACAGTCAGCAGACACATTCCAGCCAATTAGCAGCACAGCTTCCCTAGCAGACCCTCCCACCTACTGGACAGCATCCATTTTAGATTCATTCAAGCTGCATGCTT